TCGCTCGCTCTCTCGCTCTTTTTCTCTCACTCTCCCTCTCTTTCTCCCCCTCTACGTCTCACGTCCTTTACCTCTTGCCCTCTCAATATCCACTACAAATAAAAAGAATCATATTAAAAGAAATAAGTCTGGTTTTTATCCTTCACAAGTTGCTAAGAAAAAAGAGATTATAACGCTGCATGCGACCTCGTTTTTGCTGCGAGAAGGCCAGGAGCAGAGCGAGGTAAAGCGGAGCTACGTTCCAACGATAGGCAGAGCGCGTTCAGAAATAGATGCGTTTAATTCCGGCACCAGCGGTATAAACAAGGGCACCGTGCGGCACCAACCTGCACTGAATGTCGCCGATGACGCTCTGTTCTTCTTCATTTGCGGGTTGCTCAAGATCTAATTGAATATCTTAGGCCTGACAAATATTATATTTTTGTTGGTTTATTTCGTTTCTCTGTAGTTATTCAAATTCGTGTTGTGGCTCATTATACTAAGTTAAATAATAAATTAAACATTTACTGTAAATGTGGAGTGAATAAAAATCGAATACAATCGAAAATAGTATCCTGTCCCTGTATTACTTACTACTTCGCAAAAGTATTTTTCAATTTTTTGTACTTTAGAGAGATTTATTGAATTGTACACACTCTACAGCAGGAATCGTACTGCAAAATTTCCGAATTAATTAGCGCAAAATTTTAGTTACCCTATACGATAGCCATCGTTTCAGGCACTTAAGATGATGCATTCCATCATCGAAATTTTCGTCTAGAATATCCATTACAATACGAAATATTTAGATTGCGTTTCTTCGACTGAGAGATTTAGACTATTTCTTCCTTACGGTTTTGATCTAACAGACAGACAGACATTAATCAGCCTGGAATCAATGTTGATTCCAGTAATTCTTAAATTTTGCCTTCTTAAATCCTAATGGTTACTGTTAGTGTCCATAACGACTGTCCTTATATTGTAAATTTCAATGCTCTGAAAGACATTTGTCAAACAGAAAGGTTTTTTTAAATGTTGATTCAGTTCGAAATTATTACTTTCCGAAATGAGTGCACTATATTTTTTATCTTCTGAAATAACCAAATTTAATGTGTCCGATAGGTCTTGAATACCCATCAACAGAAATTGCAATATAACAGGGTAATTAGAAACGGTGTTGTGACGTGTCTGTCGTGACTTTCGACTTACTGAAGGTGATACGACAGAAGTAAATAAACACCAATGAGAGTTGTGATACGTCACGGAATCCATATGGCTCAAAAGTTTAAGTGTTGAAGAGTTTAAATCAAATACTTGTGAATATCAGTACCTGCTGTGATATCAATCAATTACAGTCGTTCCATGAATACGTATGACAAAATATCATATAAAACAAAGGTTTTCCTTTACTTCTACTATATTCCTTAAATTACTCGATATCACCGTTTTGGAACGTTTAATATAATGGTTACACGATTTTTTGTCTCGAAAATAATGAATAAGAAAAAAATAACATTTTAACTCATATTAGATCTATTTTCGTTTGCTCATTAACGTAACAAAATATGCAACACCATGTATTGTGGCGTGGAGTTAGCATTCACCCTAGTAGTTATTCTATCTTGTTTTCGCATGTTTATTCATTTCAGCTTAAAATAATTACTTTCCATGACTTATCAAAAACCTTAAAATGCGAATGGTAATTATCAATATTTTTCAAAATATCTAGAAACCCTTTCTTATCTATTTCTAAAGTTGCTTATTAAAAACCTCACTAGCATCATTGTTACTGAAATCTAAAGCAGAAATAATTTCTTTTGTTGCAGGTTTGGTTCGGAAGTTCAGGAACTAACACCCTTTCACCATGGCGGACGATGAGGTGAGGTGAGTGATCTAGATCCGTTGAGCACAAAGAAGCAGATGGCGTCAAACAACACTAGCGTTATCTGAGATCTGAACGGCAAAATAAAACTTTCTTAGAAGATTGGAATGATGATTCGACATTCTTCTTCAGTTACGATATTTACGGCTTACCTAAAGTTACTCGCATCTTCAACTGTTTTCCGTTAACACAAATACTTGAAAATTACAGCAGAAATTTTAACATTTTGGCATAAATTAAAGTTAACGCGGATAAACTTTCTTTTTCTTTTAATATCCAAAAGGTTTTTGAAGTCATAGAGGAATTATATTTTTAGAAAAGAAATATTCATTTTGGTCTTACCAAAATATGGGACACTGTCCTTCGTTTGTCGAAGTGCGGTTAAAGTTATGTGGATCTTTCTTACCGTATAAATACTTAGAACATTGTGAGAAATTCGCTTCCAAAGTCACTCCCAACAGCGCGAATCCCACAAGCTCTCAGAAGGCGGCGAGGTGTTCGTTAGTGTATCGGACTGTTATACCCAAGTTCGCGGGTTCAAAGCCGATCGAAGCGAAGCGAAGATCGTGGATTTTTAAGGTCGAGAAAATACTTCGTACGGAGGGGAAGTAAAGCCGGCTGTCCCATGTTAGTAGATTTACTGCATGTAAAAGATCTTCAAGCCTAAATGACGCCTCTGAGCTAAATTCAAATCACCTGTTTCGTCGCCCCAGGAAATACCTCCTTTCTCCGCTAGTGGGTGAAAGGAGCATACCGAAATTGGCGTGGTCAGATGGAAGAGGGGGCCCAATGGCCTGAGTCTCGTCACGGAAAATAAGGCATCAATTCAATTCAAATTCTCAGAAGGCCGCAAATTGCTACAGTGCGGCAGAAAGAAACATGCACTGCACTTAAATAAATTCGCATGAATTCGCCTCGGATATTTCTTCTGCTACTTCATTCGATGGGATGCAGCAATCTCTGTGCTTATTGGTTCTCAATCTATGCGGAAGCGCGGAGCATATACTGAGCTCTTTTGTAAGGAAAAGAAATGTACACGTGTTCATGTGTTTTTAATCTTCAAGACTTGAGAAACTATTTCTTCCATCGACCCCTTTTAAGATAATATTTGCTTCATCGATCCCCTTACGTTTTTACTTTCTCGCCATATAAATTCTTCTTGCGCCAGAAAAGGCCGATTATTTTTCTATGGTATGTAGCATCGATAATCGTGACTCAAAGAATTGCACATAAATACCTTAAAGATAACAATTTCGTACACCAACATTCGTAAACGTCTGAATTTTTCATTTCCGGTTTTAAGTGGCAGAATTTCTAATCTTCATTGAAATGCAATGGTTACAAATTGTTGAGTATTCTTTAAGAAGCACTGGTGAATATTTCTCCAGTGATTACTGAGGAGAGTACTTTCATGCGCGATAGAGTATCGTTGTCCACGCATAGTTATATATTTTTTAGTTTCTACATCATAATTTCTTAATTTCTGAGGATGAAAGACATACATGAAATAAGAGGAGCAAATGTGAAATTTATTCGTATACGTTGTGTTGATATACATCAGAAATCATTTAAGAGCATTAATATATTTTTATAATCAATTAAATATTAATTATATCCATAAGGCGCAGGTTCATATTCGGCTGTTAAACCCCATAGGACCCCTTGATCATTGACCCCTTTAAAATTCCATCGACCCCCGAAGGGACTTAACCGACCCCGTTGTGAACCCCTGATTTAATACAATAGACCATGTCGTAACCAAATTCTTTCCAAATTTGATATAACTTGTAGACAAAAATAAAAATTTCTTTAAACAGTAGGTAAAAAATGTAGATTGAAAGTTTTGATTTAATGGGTATTGATTTACTGTCATGTTATAGAACCAATCTTTCCTATAAATCTTCCAATATTATTATATTTCGAGAATTCACACTCTAAAACAGTTATCTTAACGTCTGGCGAAAAAAAATTATAAATTCTGGGAGAATTGTCTGCAAAATAATTATTACCTCGATCTTACCTCACCGAATCGTAGCTGAAATATGTTGAATCTGAATACCTCGAACGTGAATATAATCAGAAGTTAATCAACTCAGTGTGTACTCGGTTTGTGCTCAGGTCTAATTACGTTAGCAGTGACCATGTCCATGGCCAATGGACTTCCAGATATGAGTTATTACATTTCCAAGACTTCTCTCTCTTCCTCTCCCTCTCTCTTCCTCTCCCTCTCTCTTCCTCTCCCTCTCTCTTCCTCTCCCTCTCTCTTCCTCTCCCTCTCCTCTCTCTCCCTCTCCTCTCTCTCCCTCTCCTCTCTCTCCCTCTCCTCTCTCTCCCTCTCTTTCCCTCTCTCTCTCTTTTTCCTCTCTCTCTATATACAGGGATATATACATATATCTTCGAAGAATTACGTTACTTATGCCTATTCAATGTGCCTAAACCAACACGACAATACGAAATGAAAAGTTTAGAATTGTTCGTTTAGAGTAATACTAATCGCTGAATAAATTATCGAGTAGTATATCAACTTTATAATCCGTTAAATTCGATGACGTCCGAGCGCGTATTTTGACGTCTCTGCCACGCTGCCCACGGGCAGTGCACGCTTCAGATCGACGACCCCTCGCTCTGCCTCGCCCGCCGAAGAGCAAGGGTCGCCCACGCCCACCCCGCCGCCTGGTGGAAATTATGCCGCGTAAATATCCTGGCGACACGCCGTCCCCAATCGCCTATGTTTAGCCCAGAGACAAGGCGGGCGGCCAAATATGAATCGGACGCGCCTGGGGGCCGCGCGGAGCTTCCGTGTTCTCCGAGCGGGGCCTCCCCGCACTCGGCGGCGTGACCCTCGCTACAGGGTTGTGCATCCGCCGCCATTATCCTCTCACCCGATAGCCCCGTCTGGTGGCAATCAGGAGCTGAAGGAAAATTATAGCAATTGGTGACGCTGTGTGGTGTGGAGATTTTCAAGAATATTAATATTGGTTTGGGTTAGATTCTAGGTTCTCAACATACAGAATACCACACAGATACTATTCTCGTGACAAAAACAATGGAATTCTTCACTATATCTAGGGACTCCAGGCAGCAGCCCTTCCGATTCATCAAAGATTTTTTTTCGAATTAGAAAAATTTCTTCGGAATGAATACACTTTTCAAACAATCATTATACAATGCATCGCCATTCGCTGTACACTATAATAATAGTGACTTTATTTATGTGGCGAGACACGGGCCATCTGGCCCGCTCTTCCGCCTAACCACTATATGTATTATTTCTACTGCTTCCTGTTATTTACGAGAGAAATAAGAAAAAGTATTTATATATTTCTATGGTTGATTTTCAAATTGAATTTTAAGAATCGAACAATCACATAAGTGTTCCAAAACGAAAGCTTCATAAATATTAAGAACGTATTCTTCAGAATGTTTTCCACGTAAACAACCCAAACCAAAGTTAAGTATCTTCAATATGGTAATAAAATGAATCACATGCTTTCTTTTCTTCTTCAGTTTGATAAATAAAATTAGAATTATTAGATTTTGTAAATTATTGTATATTACTTTAACATGATATACATATTAAAAAGAATTAATAGAATTTGATTTTTATTGAATTTGATTTTCATTAATTTTATTTTAAATAAATTTGCCAATTAATTTTATCTTTCAATTTTTTATGCCATACAAATCTGTTAATTTTTGTATTTTATATTGGTAATTATATTTTGTTGCCAATGAGCTAATTGCGTGCTTTCCATGTTTCATCTTCTGCCCTTCCGATTGCTGTCGACGTTAACTCTGCCCTCCCTGATCGTGTTCTCCGATGCAGTATGAGTTCATCAGACTACGGAAATTCAGGTATGTGTGTGCTTTTTGTGTATCCCTGTTGTTTCCTGAAAAGAGAGTTACTGCTCTGCGATTTCGGCCGAGAATTATTTTGATATATTTTATTTTAGTTAGTTTCATGAGTACAATGTACGGTTATAGTACATATTAATATCATTTTTTCATATTTCACATCAATACCCAATATACGCCCTTCTATCAAGAACACTTATTATTTGTTTCACTTTTAGAAATATAAACTCCGAGTAAATGTATCGTTTAGGTTTGTCGATTTCCTAAAATGACAATAGAGTTTTTTTCGAAAATTAAAATCCATGTTGAAAATAATTATATTATTAAAATGTTGTGACAATATTTTTAAAGTTTTTTCTACTTTCAACAAGTGTTCTGAGGTTGTTTTTTGCAAAACTAGATTTTATACAAAATAATATTTATGCCATTTTAATAAATACAAAACAATTGTTCTCAATCTCGGAGAAAAAAAGCAGGAACTCTACTCTCAATTACTTCCCCCTGAAAACACAATCCTTGACCCAACCCCAACTGATCGCATTTGACCTTCAAATCCAGCCCCACGAGTTTTTCAGAACAGACTTTTCTCCGATTAGTCACATCCTGTGAAAAACATAACACAAATATACCACATTAGATAAAAAATAAACTTTTACATACTTCCTGTGAACAGTGGAAACGTATTTTATTAGATAATGTCTGTTCTTATCGAACATTTGTCACTTCCGTACAATCCACTATTTACTATACTCAAACGAAAAGAATAACTTTAAATTCGAATGCGCATCAATTGCTGTTATTTGGATCACATTCACTTGTTTCGCAAAGGCTGAACTCCTCAAGGTAAATGTTTCAATGTTGCGCCATTTTCCCTCAGTTGAAAACATGAACTGAAAAGTACGTTCAAACTCAAATAAGAAATGACATTAGTCTTCCTCCACTCCATTAAAATGAATAATATAAGAACATTTAAAAAAGATTACTCTTGAGTTTCATACATTTAATCGCCGGTTATATTATTTAAAAGTATTTTCCTGAAGTTTTTACAACACATAATATTGATAATCATCTCTCTTACCACAAAATACAGTTTTTATAATCACTTTATGCATTTTCCCACTCGATTTTGATAGTACTTACACAATACTCTGCGATTTTGATAGTACTTACTTGAAACGTCGAGTATGGTCCTTTCTTAGAGTTGTTTCTCGTGACATTTCTTATTCGAACAACACACAGCACTATTCCAGAGCAGCACACTTGCACCGTGCTACAGAGGTGCAACCAAAAGACAGCCCGCACAGGGCTCAGGACACCTTGGTAAGACCCCACACTCGTTCTATCTTACTCACTTTCAACTCGCCTTTATGTGTTCTAACCTGCTCTGAAGTCCTAACCGGCAGCCGCCCTCTTTGGCCCTGAAGCGGAAGCAAACGGCAAATTACTAGGGACGTTTGTAGTGCAATAAAATAATAACTAAGAAGCTATGTATTGTGACACCTGAAGCAATTGCATTACTTCGGTAGCAATTCCAAAAATGTAAATTATGTTCATAAATCAAATGAATATTTCTTGTTTGAAATATCGATAAAGCGTTTTATACCTTTCTTATGCTCTTTATATCCAAATTATCTGTCACTGGAAGAAGAATCTGAATAAGGAACACGACTGCAAAATTTGCCGTTTGCTTATTGAATGTAACTAATACGCAAGTTAGCAAGTAGGACCAACCATCAGCTTACTTTATCAGTAAACTGATCAGCCAAATCCTATTTGCCAAACTAGCGTTGTTATCCTGTCTGTCATACCTCATCTCTGTGAATATTGTTGAGCAACCAATCTTTTGTACATACTCTTCTACTGAAATGCCTATAAAATGTGTACATGAATATTTTGATTGATGTTACTGACACACCTGTTAAGCTGTAAATATTATATAATTGCTGACGTTTCTTTGTGTCGTAAGGAGCATGCAGTCATAATATCCGCAATGATCATTGCTGAATAAATGCCAAACGGCAAATCGTGAGCTTCACATATGAATTTTAAAGGCCTGTTAAATAAATTAACATATTAGTGCAAACAATGTGTATATATTACTGACAAAAACTATTAAAATAAATTATAAGTTTTATTCAAAGATGTTACAATATAACATTATTTAATAAAGAAAAATATAGATGATTACTGTATCTAAACGTCCAATGAAGCATTTGAGAACATAAGATAAATATAAATAAAAAACCTTAATTCTGTACCTGCCTTAAGAACAACCAGATTTGAAATCAAGAGTGAGTGTTGTTTTCATTTGAATTTATGTTGATAAAACTCGTATATTTCAAATATCTGAACGTATATTATGTTTAATAAATTGAGTTTATTAAAAGTCGTTATTAATATTAATCGTGGTAAACATTCATTACATTTAATGTTTCAAACAATCAGTTACGAAATTACGTTGCATCGGTTATTCTTATCGATGGTACAGAATTATACATATCAACCTTTTGCCACCGAAATTAACACTATTTTCTCTTTGTTCCACAGAGAAGACGTCTCGAGGAGGCACGTATGGAGCTGCGCGTGCGCTCTCGCCGCGGCCGCCTGCGCTTCTTGTGACCCGCCGCCCGCCCGCTCCGCACCGGGCCGCGCTCGTGGGAGCAGCTCTCTCCGCGCGCTGGAGAGCGGTCGGCGCCACCGCCACTCGAACAGCTACATTAACGCCACAAGCGCAATACTCTCCTCCCGGTCTCGTTCAAAGCGTAACGCCAAATTTTGTATTTTGAGTAGATGCCTTTCGTGTGTCATTCGTTCCGAGGTTATTACAAATAAAATCGAACGTTTTTCTCGCAACTGTTCATTTTGCCGTGGCGCCGACCTTAGCTGCGGGAGGAGCGGCAGAAGGAAGAAAGGGGAGGGCGGCCGGGAAGAAAGAAAGAAAGACATGGGAAAACACATCTTATAACGCCGCGTTTCCATTGAAACTGTCCTCTGACATTATCACAGCTACCTAACTCAGGAATGGTCTCTTGGACCAAGGCATGGAGAGATTTGGTTAAGTCACGTCCTTATCCCTTAGAATAAACAATGGTCAAGCGTTGCTTGGTCAAAGGAAATCTGGAGATACCATCCATTTACTTTGTTATCCCCACCTTCTTTTATCACTACGTATTCTGTTTGTTTTTTATTGTTCTGCTGATGTAGTATCGAACGGGAGTTACCCTGGCGATATTGTGGTGCGCGTATGCAGTTTTAAATTTATTTGACTGGCCAAAACATTAGAAAATTAGTCCTAGAACATTCCTTTGAAAAATGGAATTTATTACTAATGAAATTTACCTATATAAACTGTAATAGGAGAAAATATTAGTTTTGACACTTACCCGTCAATAATGCCTCCCCCCCCCCGCCACACACACACGCAAATACACGTGCGCCAAGTGGTGCCCTGAGCACAGTCCCTAGTTGTCCCATCGCAGACCCGCCGCTGTGAACTGGCAACAAATAGCTGACTTATAAGTTATTCTGCGATTTATGCAATTCTGCAGGGGTAGAATTGCGAAAATCGCAGTATACGTCTTGTGCCTCGGTCGTGTGTAAATCAGCTGCTTCACATTATATTTCCCCGCGAAACATGAAATGTCGGTTTGCATTATTTTACATCCAAACAATCAATCAAGCTTCAATTACTGAATGAATTATAGAAAACGAGTCGTATCTGACCATTCCTTTACCAAACATATTCCAGCGTGTATTTATACCATTGATTCACTGCCTTATCTGCAGCTGATGCAGTAGGGAGTCGCCCCTCAAACAACCATACCAACCATAACGCATTAGCAAAGTTCCCGATTTGACATAAACCAAATGTTCATATTTGAACAAACCGTCATAGGTGAAAAATTGTTTTATTTTATTACATTGAACCATGAACCCTCCCCCTCACTCGGATTAAATGTATGAATTCACCTCTGCAATGTTCAATGCACATTTCGTAACAACTGGAGTTTCTGTTTTGCAGGCAAAGAAGGCGAAACAGGCCGAGATCGAGCGCAAGCGCGCTGAGGTGCGCAAGCGTCTCGAGGAGGCCTCCAAGGCCAAGAAGGCCAAGAAGGGTTTCATGACCCCCGAGAGGAAGAAGAAGCTCCGAGTAAGTATACCTCCTTGAATCCTTATGTTCAAATTGCGTCAGAAAATCGGACTCCTCCTTTGTGAAGGAGTCGTTTCACTTCTGTGAGAGCGGGGCGAACAACAAAATGGGACCGCTGTCTTCTATAGTATTAAAATGTCAAAATCTTTTAAAATCTGAATATATATAATTGAATATATTAACAAATAATTAATTAATTGGGTCTCTGAGCATGACGCGGGTAGGCCTTTAGAAACTCCTTGCTATCAAGCCAGAACTTTTCCTGAAATCAGTAAAACTTAAAAAATATAAATAATTTTGGTAATCATATTCATAATGTTTTGTAGATATAATGTCTTTTTCAATATTCTCAAAAAGATCCAGAGATAGACAAACAGAAATTAATCCCTTAAAATTTCAAACCACTGAACTAAGTATCAGAAAAAGCTCATTACTTACATCAAAATTACTCTTCAGCTGCTGCTGAGAAAGAAAGCTGCTGAGGAACTGAAGAAGGAACAGGAACGCAAAGCAGCTGAGAGGAGACGCATCATTGAAGAGCGCTGCGGCAAGCCCAAGAACGTTGACGACGCCAATGAAGGTATGTGTTGTTACAAGTTAAGCTACAGTAACAAACTCACTGACTAATTTCAATATACTTTTATACAAGTGAAGTAATAAAATACTTATGTAGTTAATAATATTTTTATGTTTATGATAATGCAATTATTATATCTTCCAAAAGTTTTCTCTTAAAAAAAACACAAATTGAAATGAAATATCTTTCCACTTCATCACTGCTGCTAACTGACATGTTCATTGTAAATTCAAAGAAACTAATTTAAATCTTACAGTTTCCCATCAAAATATTTTGGACTGGAGCAGCAATTATAAAACTGAATGATAACAATTGTAGAATTCCCTCTTTAATATCTCAGCCATTGCAAGAATTTTTTTCTATAAATTTTATTATTTATGCTCATGTTTTATCAGAATATTTCAATCAATATTAGGCTTCTATTGTTGGAGTTTATGATCTTTTTGTTCTTAGTATTATGTTCTTTACCTTCTGGGTAAACCAATTCAAAGAATATTTGTATCTGGTTTTATTAAGAATAATAATTCAAATATTTTACAAACATCTTTTTTAATTTAAAATTTTTAGAGATAACTAAATACAATTGTTAGCATTAACACTATTCACTACCAATATTATCACTATTCGCTACTATCAGATGTATGTGGGAGACAAACATCACAGAAAGAAGTTTTAAAGATAATTTTTTTTACTTTTTAAGTATTTTCTAATTTAAAATTCCCACACAAGTTTCTTCTATTAAATATTTCTTATTGTAACTTCGAATTTGGTGTAGAACAAACTTGTAAAAGCTTGTGCCACAATCAAAGTATGCCACATTTAACTCTCCTCATTATTCACATTAACCATACTTGTTATCATACTGAACTCATAAATCAGAATATGCTATAAACTGAGAGATAAGCCTGTTCAATACCTTCACATTTGTTAGTTTTAATTCAACTACCTCGTATAAACAAATATTATTTGCAGATCATTTCAGAAGGTTTCAGGTTCTTTGTTGTGTGTGACTGACGTAAATATATTTGTTGTTGTACTTCCTTGAGCAGTATTCAGTGTGAAAATTATAATCATAAATTTTCTTTACAGCATATGAAACAGACAAAAATCTATAAATTTTGTCATTTTTTTATTCAGCAGAAACAAGAAATTTAATTGCACTTTTTAATTAGGCAATCCAACTTAAGTTTACATATATTTCCTTACAGAAGAATGCAACAAGAGGACAACATAACAAAAATGATAAATGTGACCCATGAAACAGTTCTTTCAAATTTTGTATCAACGTAATCTCCAAACTTTCAAACTCCTTTCTAACTTAATTTTATTTCTAGTTGAGTGTTGGTCATTTCCTAAAAGTTGAACCCCTTAATATTGTCATCTCAAAAAATAAGTTATGCATAAAGTTAAGAATTTCACAACTCTATTTTCAATTTCTTTTATATCACTTTTAGTTTTTATAGATATGGAGCCAAGACAAGTAAAAAAGGCTTAAAGAATACACAATTTTTAATTTACCCTACCCATTATTCTATTACATATTCATATACACAGCAAAATACAATATATGACACTTTCTCAGAATAATTTACATTCCAACATATGTGTTTAAATTATGTTAAAGGCATTAAAGAATCATTTTGAAGCATGACCTGGTTGAAACTACAATTATAGTCGAATTCAAAAAAGTTTCATTAGATAATTATGATTTAATAATTCTCTCTAACATCTTGTTTCCAGTCATATTTTATTACAATCCAAGAACAATATCAGGAAACAGATCACATCAAACTTTTAAGTACACATACACATACATATTTACTGTCTTTTAAAAACTAGTTTTCCGCTGGTTCATTTGGTTGTTTAAAAAATAGCAGAGAAACACATTTCTAAGACAGATTCTACTTAGGCAATTTTTTTTCAAATGTCTCTATCTAATTCAGAATAAAAGAGCTTCATCAAAGTAATAATACGTAATACCTATTACATAGTAAATATGTATAATTCAATGAACAAAAGAAAAGAGAAAAAGAAAGAAGGTAAAATTTCACTTTTAGATTGCCCTTGTATTTTATTCCACCAACAATAGAGCACAAAGTTCCAAAATTAAAACATAACTTAAATTAAGTACTTAAATTTTTATCAAAAATGTTTTATTTATTCTGACGATTTTCAATCAAAATTTCAAACAAAATTAGGAAATAGAACAATTGTCCACAATGTAGAACTCAATGCATTTCCCTACCCAGTACCTACTCCTTTTTTTAACATATCCAGTTGAATATTTAAAGTTTTATATGTCTTTCATATTTCTACAGAGACAGTTAAGCGTGTGCTCAGGGAATATCACAATAGAATCAACGCTCTGGAAGATGAAAAATATGATCTGGAGTATACTGTTAAAAAGAAAGACTTTGAGGTAGAGAAAACATGTGTAATCATTACAACTCCATCTTCAGTGTCACACTTTCTATTAATTACAACTGTGGGTTTTGTTTGAAAGTTTCTATACGTGTTAACAGAGATCATATGGAACTGTTTATTAACGACTTGTCTCATCTTGAATATTTCATCTAATCCAAGGAAGTTGAAATCAGAAATTTGTATGTCTGCATTCATGAATTAAGTTGAGTAGTATGTCAAAACATTATTTTACTCTAAATAAAGTTTTTAGGCATAATTACTCAATAATTGAAATTCCAATGTTTTCAACTTCCAATAAAAGCACTTCTTGCTTCACCTCTAACATGATCTATATTTGTTCAGTTGTCGACATTTTCATATAATGCTAAGATCTTAGCTGTTTATTTTCTTTCATTGGTGGCATACTGGAGATTTTTTAATAATATCATCAAACATATTAGTTGATTACACACTTTGATTAATTTTTATTCATGTTTATTATTTCATTTTACATTTGCTTAGAACTGCATTGGGAAATTTTTCCCATCCTTTGCATTTTTATTATGTGAACAGCATGGGTCTTGGCACTTAGAATATAAATTTTATTTCAATGTAGTAGACAATGTGAAATAAGACAAAAGTTGTTATCAACTGAAGGCTCTACTTATGTTGATATTTGATAACATCGCATGGATTCAACTTTCCAGAACTATTACTTTCATTCTCATTAACTTGCTGTTTCTTTCATAACTGAAATTTATGTTGAGTTCCAGTATTCCTTTAATTTTACCTCAAATCAAAATTATTGACCTTTTGTGAATTTTCTTTCATTTTCTGTTAAAAGAGGCTATGTCATCTTATCTGGTAGAAAATAATTTTGTTGAATTTTTATTCTGTTTTTGAAGTCACCTTCACAACTCCTACCAAGAGAAAAAATACCGAATTAGGACTAAAGAAAAAAACAGAAAGAAAGATTTATCTCAAGACACTAATTAAATTTTTTATCAAGGGCTGGAGGATGTTAGATCATTATGCTACTTAAAGGGTACGCATAAAATAATTAAAAAATAGAACTGTCCATCTCAAATAAAAGTAGATAATTGAGGAGTCGCCTGAAATGTATCATTCATTTTTTACTATAAAAAAAAATCAAAGTAGGCAACTCGAGTATTATTTAAATTTGCATAAATGCATTTCCTGCTGCCAGAAAACATCAGTCCTTGTTATCCTGTTCCTATTGTATGAACCAGCAATCATGACTGCAACTGCACCCACCTTTTACTGTCTCAGCGAACCTGAAATCCATCATCAAAGCGTACCACACCCGCATTGGAAACCTCGAAGCAGAGAAATATGACCTTGAGTATGAAGTAGCCCGGAAGGATTTGGAGGTGTGTAACGGCTTCCGTGTCACAATGCACACAGCCCAGCTGAAATATTAACACAGTTGTCCAAGTTTCGTCATAATATTAGTTTTATATCCTCAAGCATAAAACAATTTTCCCTTTCTACTTATCATAACCCCTTAACTAAGTATTGAGAATCACGTACTGCAGTTATAATATCTACAATAAATTAAATATTGAACAAGAACAAATGTAAATATCATTATATTTAATAGTTATGAATGTACATGTGCCCACATATCCCTTCCTATAAATACATGACTAACATGTATAAATAAGCTTCATTTTTAATAATGTTTATGCCAAATGCATAAATTTGCTTGTAAGGCCTAAATAATGAACTCCCAAATTATGTAAATGTACTTTAATATAATAATGCATCCATATTTAGTGATACTGCTGTGTAATATTTGCTTCTGGACAACATTGTGACATGGGAAAGCTGAGCATGAGTAGCAAACAGTTCTCTGATATATGCTTCATGCATCAGATACTCAATAGAAAACAATGAATTTACATGAAGTAATATAAGTAATCCCATTCATATTTTAATCCACTATATGCTACTGAGCAGTAAAATGAGTTTTTGAAATCCTGAGTTTCTTAAAAATTGTTATGTAGTTATTTTATATTCAAAATAGTTGAAAGGTGTCGTTTTTATCTATATGAAATTCTAGAACGTAGAATGTACTAAAATTAGTAGATAGTTGATTTATCAATTCTTAGATAAATTTGTATTTTGAGGGTGTTAGAATGTATGCTTCCGGAAGTGCAAAGCAATCACATAAAATTCATTCCTAAATTTATTTAGTGTTAGATTCCTTCTTCACTTTCCAGACATCCCATCCTATTAAATATATTTTTTTATCTTGTAGAATTTTTCTTTTCAATAATTTTCAAAAACTAATATGTAAACATTTCATTTTTTATTTTGTGTATTTTTAACCTTTTCTGTTTTGAAAAATGAATTTTCTTTCACTATTTTTGCATTTTGAGTTTTGAATAGATTTTGTGCATTTTTGCATTGTTTTTACAGCTTCAAAGCATATTAGAGTAGAAAGCTTGCAATGATATTTTAGCAGTGGTGAGAATAGATTACGCATTGGTTAATACATAAGATATTAGTCATCGTGGTTTAGGTGTATCATTATTCCAGTTATAATAAAGTGCTCAGCTAACATGGTTCACAGAACATGAAGAACACTTTCTCTTAACATTACATCAGCTTTTGCTTTTAAAAAGCTTCCATTGTTTTAACGCTTATGTCACAATTTTCCTTGACATATTGACAAGAAAGTTTTGTTTTAATGAATGCAAGCTATATTTTTCTTTTACGTAGGTCCAAGATTTATACTTTCTTATTAATTTTAATATAAAGTTTACTAATTGTCAAATCAATTTAAATTCTGCACCTTAATACCATGGGGAAAATTGTGACTCTGGCTTCTCAGGTACTGATAATTTTTTGCAGCTCTGAAATAACTGTATTTCACAGGTAACAGCAGAACGAAGCTGCAGTTGCTTCAGTTGCAGTAACACTATAAACACACTGAAATTTGGCCAGTAATTTAAGAAATTGAATGAGAATTTGAATATCTTAATTGCTAATTACTGCAATAACCATTAACTTCAGAGAATTAAATCTATCCAAGTGATATAGACAGTAACTCATAATATAGAATAACCTCTTCATTAAATCTTAATGATTTGCCCAGCTAACAGTGAAGTTATATCTCTTAAATTACTTCTGGCACAAATTTCATGTGAAATTTAATGTTGGTTAATGTTACTAACATGTCTTCTATTTACATCTAAAGCCTCCTTTCTTGATATTTCTCTTTATCTTTTAGCTGAACTTCAGACAATTTGCAAGCAATACTACAACAGAATTTGTGATCTTGAGGGTGATAAATATGACCTAGAAAGAACTAGTGCTCTTAAAACCATGGAGGTAAATTTCTAACTGGCATACTGCAAGATGTTTTTTTTTTAAATATCAGTTCCCAAAAGTAAAATTCTACACATTTATTTTGATGCACAAACAATATTTTGTGTTTCTTGTGTTTCTTTTTGCACAATCCATTCACTTCTGTAGTGTAAATATCTAACAGCTGAAAGCAGACATATCCCTTGTATTATAACAAAACTATGTGGGCAATACACAAAATCTCTTCCATACAATGGCATAAAATGGCATAAGCTGCAGGCCAATGTAAATTTTTGTATCACGTTGCAACCAATTAATAAGTTAACACAGAATATATAATTTTCACATCTATCACCTCCGTTTTGAGAATTTTTAATGCGCTACCTTTTGCGCCTTTACAAACTTGTTCTAACACTGACTCGAGCCAATCCTATGTTCTATTTTACAGGTTCATTTATTCTGGAGGTGATGCACGGGTATAGGCTCTTCTGACTGATATAATTTGTAGTAATGTATACTCTTGTCCCAATATATTGAACCATTTTCAGTTTCATAACAAATGAAAATTGCAGTTTTCCAGGTTGCAAAGTAACATTTTCCGTTTTTCTTATGACCCATAAAACCTAATTCACTTAAAATACTTTTCTAATCTACATAATAAGGACATTCATTTGATTTGCAAACTAATGCAAATCGACTCATTATGAGTGCTCAAGGAAATGAACCTGTGGGAAACATGCATATTAAAAACAATTATAAGTAATATTTCAGTTTTAATTTTATTAACAAATGTAACCATTTTTTCATTCAGTTGATTAGAAACAGTAGGCATAAGCATAAGAAATGTAGATATATCAAGATAGTTGTTTAATAACTTTAAAAGAAACAATAATGCTCTACAATAAATATGGAAATGCATATATTCAAGCAATTACTCACAAACAATGCATTGAAATCAATTTTCTACTTCCTACTCCAGCATTTTCTGAGCAACCATAATTACATAAATGACACATTTCACCAAATCTAACACATCCAACAAACATGCATAGGGGAAAACTGCAATATTTATATTGATAAAATAAGACTTATTTTAAACAGCAATATTATTTATTTTGATTTTATATTGCTTTTAAAATATTTAAGTCATCTCCCAAAAGTATTTTGAAACTAGACACATATATATTGGGATCAGAATGTACAAAATTTCTTCCATCCATCACTTCAGATCTGACCAATAACTTCTGTACTGAACTGTGCCTGCTACTTTGTCTTTCTAGAGGCTCTGAAGGTTATCGTGAAGGAGTATTTTGATCGCGTATATCTGTGTGAAGGTCAGAAATGGGATTTGGAACATGAAGTTCGAAAGAGGGATTTTGAGGTATGCAGAGATCATGTGTACATTAATTCCTCTCTATAGTGATTATTAGAATTCAGTTTTAAAACACAATGAGCAAAAAATATATATTATATCCTGATATATATTTAAATTATAGTTTTAATTTTGAGTCACAACAATCACTCACAACTTCATTCATTCAATCAGCAAAACAGCCAAACTTTGAAAAGGGAATGCTTTACATACAACATTGATACACAAATAAAAAGTATTATTATTATCATATTGCTAGCTTTCATACAGAGAAATTGGTTGCATTAATAATAATAATATTTAATGCAGTCGTTTTCACTAAGCAGAGGCTAGCAAATGAACAAAACAAAATAACTCAGAATGTTAAAAAGGTTTACCTCTTCATTTATGTAAATTAGATACAACAATACTTTATAATTATCATTAAATAATTCTTAAAATTAAAATTTGAAACATGAAAAAAAAAAACTAAAATACGTCAAAAGGAAATATGAAGTGCTTGACTTTATATATAAAAACATACTGTTCACTATGGGTTGACTCACATACATTATTCCAACCTCCCTTCCTGCAAACAGATTCACAAGTAAAATGTCATTAAGTCCATTATTCAAATTCAAATTGTGACAAAAGAAAATAAATATACATATTGTGGGCAAGTGCCCTTGTCTGAATAAGTATGGTTCAATTTACTATTTTAAATATAATCAAGAAATATAATTAACTTACTCATATAATTAAATTAAATGATAAATTATTTCATCAGTATGGATAGCACAATGACTGCCAAAAATGAAGTCTTTAATTTATTATTTTTGTTTAACATGTCAATAAAAGTACATATTAAAATATTCTTAAATTCAAAATATCTTTATGCCAACTTTTACTACAATGAATCAACATTACATTTACATCTTAAACACAGAGAAAAACACTAACAATGACTCAGCAAAAATTAGATATAGAACATTTTCATGTACACGTGGTGCAAATTCTATCATTTATTGATAAACACATCCCTTCATTCCTGTGTACCATCTGCCATTATAGCATGAATATCCTACCCTAATAATCAATGTTATGCTACCCTTAAAAAATTGTGGTCAGCCCTTTCTACTACTGTGAGTTCAAAACCAAATTATTGCAAATATATGTTGCCCGAGCAGAAATACTGGGCATCATGTCTTTAATTTGACCGTCTCCTTATGAATTTCCTCTATACTAGATATTTTTCTCAATCCATTTACTTACATCTGTGTGACCCCATTTTTGAGTTTATGTTTTATGTTTTCTTAAATTTTTATTTCTTTAAACAGCATTCTCAGTCCTCATTTCTATTCCAAATAATAAGTATATGAAACTTTTTAGTATAAATTTGGGAATTGGGTAAAATAATTATCATGAAAGCTTCAAATAGAATATACAAAATATTGAAAAAGTTTGGAATAGACATGAAATTATGCTGTATTGGAAGATACAAGCATACGCAGAAAAATAGCATAAGCATGGTTAAGTTAAAAGTTTATTAAAAGTTTCACTGGAATAAGACCTGTTTTTCCATAACAAGCTTTCTACATTTTGATGAATATATGGCTTATTAATACTTACAAGTATAATACACAAGAATGTGTAAAATGCAGATAACTTTATCAAATCAGTAGTTCAAAAAGATTTTTTTTTTTAATTTCCAATTGCCAAAATATGAATAATTTGAAACAATAAAAATATAAAATAAATTAACAAAAAAAGCAAGGAGGACATTTTCAATTACAAATTTTTTAAGACCTAAATTTCATGCTGAAAGTAATATTAATAAACAAAGTTGTAAAAGAAAAAGTAGGGATTGTGTTTAACTTTTTTCTAACTTGTTTTGATGCTGGACTTTACATGAGCACAATCGTAAGAGTATTTTCATTGTAAATAACAACATGTAGTGCCAAATATGTCATATTTTCTGGAAGTAATTAAAAACTTTCTATAATCCTTTATTTAATATACCTATTTGATTCTTTTTAAGTCCAGTAGAAATCTATAGAATATATACATTTACAAAAGTTTGCTTTGTTAACAACATACTTTTTAAATGTAACAAATTTCATTTGCAATGGTTTGAACACAAATACATCAGTGGTTTGTGGTTTCCAGTCACAAATAAAAAATTAGGTCATTCAGAAATATTGCTTGTAACATGACCCTCTATGAATACAAAGTATGGCACTTCATATGTTTTTCCATCAATTTTTTTTTAAGAAAAAGAGGATTGAAAGTTATTACCAACAGTATGGTTCTTTTAAGAATAAATAATGTCTTTTTAGCATTTTTTCTAGTAGTAGAATACACAGCTGAAATACAAAACAGACACTATTTTTATACTATAACCAACTTTTACAAGAACAATGTATACAGTGACAATACTTCATATTCCAAATCCGTTTCTTAATAAAAAACTGAAATTCAAAAGACAAGAACTCATAAGAGCTAACAAAATATGGAAGGGAAATTTAACATTTAACTGAAAAGTGCCATGCTATGGATTTATTTTTCCCCCAAGAATACCAAACCCTATTTCACCCATTTTTGCTTTCAGCTGACCAAGGCCAATAAATATGGATTTTGCACCACAGTTGCTCTTGTGTTGTGTATGGCTATATTCTTACATTAAGAGATTTTGTACTGTGCTCAATGGATATGCCCAATGGTTACATTAAAAAACCTGTTGTTATTAGTTATAATTAACATTTATTGTTTATTTTCTTCAATTAAAAGAGAATGTTCCTTTTCTCTTAAGTAAATTCTTTCAAGAAAGAGCCTTAATTATTATATTTCATCATGCTCCTATCATCCATGGCACAATACAAAAAATACTGCAGTAGTCTTTTTAAGAACAACTCAACAATACTGAACATGACCAGTAATAATATTGTTTGAATCGATTTGCATTTTTATGCCATGTTCTCTAATTCTGTCACTGTATTTGTTCATGTTCACTACTCATTTCCCCTCTATTCCAATTTCATGAGCACAGTTATTTCAGTTTCAAACTTGGTTAATTGCAGTTTGTCAGATGCTCTTACAATAGAAAATACATTTTCTACTGATAAGAGTTGTTACAAACGTACTGCAATGAATCTTACACCAGATTTATCAACAGTTCATTACACTCTACAATTGTTTTTAATTTTTTGAATTCACATCTCAGCCAATTTTTGGTGCAGTGATTTTTTATTATCTGTACATATTTTTATTTTATTTTTCAACAGGAGAGTCTGTTTTCACATAGATATATCTTCTAGACGACACGTGATGTATAGCTTCATAATGTTTTCATTAACTATAAAGTGGCTGGCATAAAACCACCTTATTCCATGTACTGTTTCCAAAAAACATTTTTATATGAAACATTGAAGTAAAATTTAATACATTCAACAGTAACAAATCACACATTTGGGAGATTTCACCTATATTTTGTCTTACTAACATAAACAAAAAACAGAACTGACTAATATTTTGTAGCACAAAGTAGTACCACAAACACAACTACCGATGGTATTATTTGTATGTTATATTAAATTCTGCTGCAGGACTCGCTTGCATGAATAGTCTTTCTGTATAGTTCAGCTTGTCAACACTGGAGAAATGTGAAAAGTTCTTATTTATGAATTTTGAAAAATTCAATTAAACTTACCTTACATTGTACTGTCCCAGAAATATTACCACTTCCTACAGTGCAGTGTAAATAAGTTGATGCTGTTTGCATTAGTGCAGTTAAAAACTAATAAATTTTCTTCTTTATTCCAACCTGATTCAAATGCTTTCTGCAGCTTATACTGAACTCTGCACACTAACTGAACACAAATGACTATCTCTTATGTACATATAAACACTATCACTTTTGTGTATTGTAATGTGCTCTACAAACCCAAATTATTCCCTGATTACTACATTTGCTTTTACTTTCTAAAATTAGATACCAATTTGTGAGTTTTTTAAATTACAGAAGCTAACAATGAGCCAGTAGTTATTTACAGTAGAACAGAATTTATTTTATGCATGAATATTAGCATGATACTTTAGAATTAGATCTAAGTAGAATTAAAACTGTTTTAAAGTTCATTAAATTTCTTAAAACAAACATCATAATTACAATATTAGTAAATGAGAAATTATTAGAATGCTCTCAAAATATTTTTTGGCACATTTTTCAAATGAGTTTTAAATATCTAATTCATTGAAAATAAATAATTTTGAAATTTCTTTTCTTTTAAATTCATTAAAGTGAAATGAACTCTACTGGATTATAAATTACTTAATATTCCTTTACTGATTTTTGTATTTTATCATAAAATGTCAACAGATCTCCGACCTCAACAGCCAAGTCAATGACCTTCGTGGCAAGTTGTAAGTAGATTCGAGAAAACTGTTCATAAATCTCTTTAGAAAGTCAAACTTCATAAATATCAAATTATTGTGTTTTTTGACAGCATGAAACCCACTCTGAAGAAGGTATCCAAATATGAGAACAAGTTTGCTAAGCTGCAGAAGAAGGCAGCTGAGTTCAACTTCCGCAACCAATTGAAGGTTGTCAAGAAGAAGGAATTTACCCTTGAGGAGGAAGACAAAGAAGTAAGTCACATTAAATACTTTTTGCCTTATTATGACATACTTTTAAATTTTGTTGTTTACAAACTTTAAAGAATTTGAGAAGAAAACATTGTATACAAGAACATGGATAAATTACTTTCAACCTTTATTTTGGTGGATCGCAAGTACTACTGCTTATAAAAGTAATGAACAATTTAATATTGGGAATTTCAAATAATTTTACAGAGCTAGGGTAACTTGATTTCTTCTATAATTAGAAATAAGAGATATAATTTTACCAGATGAGAAATTATTTGTTTGTTTTATTATCATTATTTAACAAGTTAAATATTTCGATCCTTAAGTTTATCAAATACAATTTTTCCCCAAAAATTTTAAAATTCAGCAATGTTGGAAATTTAATAAATTTGTTAGGTAATAGATACACACTGGAAAATACATAGGCTGAGTTTGTTTAAAGCATAATAATTGAACACAAGTATCCTTTTGTTTTTTGATAATAATTGAAATTTTTTCTTAAAAAAACATCTTTATTGTTCAACACAACATTTTGTGTGTTAATTGCATGCATCTTTAGGTGTATATAAAAACATATATTTGACATCATTATGTCTGAAAATAAAAAATGACAAATAAATTTTGAAGATGAATAAAATAAAAGAATTAAAAATAAGTTATTCCGAAATCAGAGATGAAATTCAATAAAAAAACAAGTGTAAGTTCAAAATATATAAGTAGTAAGTTCAAAATATAAAAGTAGATAGGAAAGAACTTACTAAAAAATGTGAAATTAAGCATACTTTTTTATAAAAATTGTAGAACTTTATAAAAAAGTTAACAAAAAGAATAACTCCAACCATAATACTTCTTTGTGACAATAAAGACTTTTTTTGAAGAAAAACATTTTCATCAATTATTGAAAAAAATTAGTGTTTAATTATTGTGTTTAATTATTTTTATTCAAGTGACAATCATAGTTTTCTCACATTTTTATGTGTATAATATTTGATAATTATTTTTTTACATTTGTCTGTTGTAAAGATCACTTTATTACACACAAATACTTGAAAAGTTCTTTTGCCAAAAGATCCCAATTTTTAATAAAATAGTTGACAATGACCCTGGGCATCCAAACAATTGAAATAAACCAATTCCTGTTTTATCCTGATTCTGTTAAGAAAATGTATTGTGACAAAATCTTTCCTTAAAAAAAATTATCTAAATTTATCTATTATGTTAATATTTATGAAATAATTTAATAGTCATGATGAGGTCCATTATGAATTGATGAAACATTAGCTAGTAGTTAATGTAGACTTAAGGTTGGTTTCCTTCAGTGTTTGGTTTCCCAAGGCAATTATCAATTGTTTTATACAAATACTTATTCCTAAACAAAACTTTCAAAATTTTGACGTACTAAAACAAAAGATTTAATTAAATTATTTACAAAACAACAGTAAAATGAATAGTATGTACATGCTACAAAATAACCCTCAAACATGTACCTTTATAAAAGCAACAGTTGAAATTAAATAAAAGAGACTACAGAACTAGAAGTATAAGTCCATCAATTTTACAGTACTAAATCAATGATTAAATAAAAAGTAATAGGTAGAGTCAAAAATATTAAAATAAAAGTGAAATTTATTTATACATTATTAGTAATCAATCTTCTGAACTGTAGATGAAAATTGCCATATTTAATAGGCTAAATAAAAAAAACAAAATATATAGATTAATTGCCAATTTATAATTCTAGGGGAGAAATTAAAACAAAAAAAATGAAGTCACACCCCTTTAAAAATACTCACTTTTTAAATAACTTTGCAGATTAATATATATTCTAAGTGCAAATTTTTATTTATTTTCATTCTCACAGCCCAAGAAATCCGAGAAGGCAGAATGGCAGACGAAGAAGTAGATTTGAAAATTACAATCACACACAATAATACATTTATCTCATATTCATTAAAGCTGAATTTAATATTTATCTGTAATATTTTTTTTTTTTGAAATCAAAGAAATTAGTTAATTATTGAGAGAAAGGGTGCAGTTCCATAATGTTACTCATTGAAAATATTTAAAATTAATAATTTGTTAAGATCTATTTCAATATATAAAATTAAGAAATAATACAAAATATATTATCAAACTATGATGTTTCTTTTTTACCTTACACTTAATGCAGGATTTCAGTTTAATACTTGCATTATTTTACCACACATCTCATTTAATTACAAAAATACCACATGACAAATAATATTTATTTTTATGCATCATTTTCCACTCTGACATTTTACAATTTTTGTCTGTGTTGTTGAAGTAGATATATTTTTTGTATATTTTGTGTTCACTGTTTTTGAAAAACCAAAATGTGTTGTCCTGTGAATAGCAGTACAATTTTACATGTATACCTAATCATTTTTGTGTAGATTCAGATACAAATCCATAACTTGTTTAGTAGATAGTTTGACCAAGAATGTTCTATCAATAACACCTTCTGGTCCTGATTTTTCATTTTTTCTATTTTTTTATTTTGAATGACAATTTTTAGCTTTTTTTCAAACTTATGATTTGTGATGCTTTTTGTAGTAGTTAAAAGTTATTTTAATAATACCAAAATAGAGCACATCATCCTGTGCAATTTTTGAATGTGTGATTTGTGATTGATTGCTGTTCAATTCACTCCAACCATTTCAAAAACATATTTGAAACGGTTTGGTTGAAAATTCAATCTCCTATTGTTTTCAACTTACAATGGGAACAACGCATAGTATTTGTAACAGAGGTGAGATTTTGCTCATGCATGCCTTAGATGTGATGATTTTAGTCAAACTAATTATAGAAAGGCCACTTTAAATCTTTCAGGTATTATATTCTATTTCTTAACTGAGAAAAAATAAATTAATTAAATCTATAATTTTAATAAAGCTAATTCCTAACAAATTAATTATGATAACTGCTATTTTCTTAGAGCATTTGAAAATCAAAATTACCTTTTATGGATTGAAACGATTCATAAAACTTAATTTTCATTTTAAATAGTCATATTCAGTTATTTTAAAAATAATACAGATGCATAACTATGAATTATACATTCCTTGTATAATTCAATATATATAAAATGTGAACATATGATTATAAAAATTAATGTTTTAGTGGCTTTAAGTGGAAAAGTTCAGAATACTAATAGCATGATTTGCAACTGCCATTTCCTAAAGTGTCTTTTAATCTTACACTGACTGACATACACATTCAGATTCATTACAATGTCTATAACTAGAAGTCCATATACAAATTAGCATTATTGAAATAAAAAACTGAAAGTATAGTGTATTACACAATACATATATTTTTCTGTTGATCTATTTTACTTTTTTATTTCCCAATGAAAATTTTTGTTTTCTGTCTGCTATTACAATAACACGATTTTACAATGATGCTAAAGTCTCATTTTTTGTATACATTTCATAATGACATCAGCTGATGCCGAAGTAACTAAATTTGCTTACTGCATGAAACTTCTAGAATTGAATTTCAATGCAACTGACAATGCAGAATTGAAATGCAGGACTGAAATGCAAATGATTGTTCATAATTCACACAATTTGTTTCTTTTATGCCTACAACTTTAAATTTTATTTTGAAGTAAATCAATTTTATATTGCCATAAAACAAAATGAAAGGATTATAAAAATTATTTAATTCCTTTTTTCTCCAAATTATAACTGCTTACAATATCTAAAATAAGTTTCAACATTGTGACCTGCATTTGATTTTTCATAAGAGAACAGCAATAAACTCTGCAGTATTCAATAAATGCTCAGATCTAATTAACTTAACTGAGCTCTAAATGCTTGTAATTTAAAATAACAAATGCAAATTGTTTTCAGTAGGTTTAAACAATTTATCTGACTTGTTTATGTTGTTATAATATATGACTTGTTTGCAACTCACAGGTCAAAATCGTTTTCATGTTGTCTTCTCTACTAAATTGCTGCATATTTTTTAACACTTACCTCATGAAAGTATTATTATTAATATTTTTTTTCCTTTTTTCTTGCAGAAGAAACCAGACTGGTCCAAGAAAGGTGATAAGGTAGAAGAGAAAGTTGAAGCATGAATTTCTTAATCATTACTTCACACACATGATTTTTATTTTTGATGTTAAATACTCCAAATTATTCTATACTTTTTAAGTCATTTAGAAATAACAAATTATGTAACAATAACATTTTTCTGCAACAATAATTTTTTACCAAAAGTTCCAGATTTCACTGTGAGGAGTTCATATTTTCTCGAAATTTTATTTTTTTATGACTTACATTACAAATCACAAAGCGAAACACAATATGCACGTTGTATATCATTTGATTTTTGTTTTACTTTGTTGATTTTGAATGTGCATTTTTTATGTTTGTTTTTATTCATGTAAATTTTCAACATTGCATGAACATTTACCACACATGGTAAAAAAAATATTACTATTCTTGTTCATGCAAATCACTTCCTCTACATTTTTTATGTGAACACCAGATAGTGAAATAACTCCATGAAAACAGAATGTAGATCTAAATCCAAAAATAAGTGTAGAGTATATAGTTTGTCTTAAATGTATGTACTCCTTCACTGGCCATAAGAACAAAAACTATAATGACAGTAAAATGTGATACCAAAGTGTACAAGACACTTCATTAAAGTGTTTATCTCTTCGTTATCCTTATGTGTTTCCTCCAATTTGCTCCTTTCAATTCCAACATAAGTGTGAAATGAATAAATGTCTTCTTGTTTGTATGCTTATATCTACTCTGCTACCAAGCAAATAGATGACAGATAAATCTCAAAGACAGCTCTAGAGCTTAAATCTGAGAAATTTACAAGGTAATTCCCACATACCTTTTTTATTTATTTATGTTGTGACACTGAGAAGGAAAAATAACATTAAAGAATTTGTTTGTTTTGGCCAAAACAATGGAAAATTGAAATTGCAAAGTGCAGTATGAAAATGTTTGTGGGTTCTTTTTCCATGAAAATATTATCATTTTATTCACTTTGTTATCAAAACATTCAGCAAGTTTTTGTAATACAATAGCTGATTTTTCTCTCATAATGTACCAACAGTATGACTGTAGAAAAAATATATAAATTTTCAATTTGCTAAGCTAAATACAATGAAATCAGGAATTGCCTGAGTAAATGTATATGTAAGCATACATAGGAATGAAAAAAAACACAATGTGCATAAAGAATTTAATTAGTAGAATTATTTGTGTTCTGAGTGTGCACCAAAAGGTTCTTTATTTCAATCAAAACCAAAACATTGCATGGTTATCACCTCATACATGTAATATTTCAATGTTATATTTTTCAAATTTCAATTCATAATTATTAAAAGAAAAATCCACTTTTCTTTTAATACTTCATTTATTTCAAATATTGAAAAAATTATATTATGTGGTAATATATAACAGCCAAATTTGTAGCAAGTAGCAACAAAGCTAATTATTCTGTAATATTTTTATTTCTCAAATTTGGTTATTCTTTCAGATATCTCATGGCACATGATTTTGCCAAACGAGAATTAAACCATTCTCATTTCAATAATTTACAAGACTTAGCTCACTTGCTGAGGGCAAACCCACAAACTTACCTTCAACTTTCAGAAAAAACATATTTTCTTCTTATTAAATATAAATATTTCAGTTTCAGATAATGGTGAACATTAAACTTTCAAATAGCAATTTGGGGGAATGAGATTAAATACATTGAAACATTTGTAACTAAAGTAAGAATTTTAAAAATCTGCATTAATATTTCTTACTTACAATATTTTTATTTTAAAAAAACATGAGAGTTTCCCTCATTGTCCTAAACAAACATAAAATTTTTGCAGCACACTTTCAAAAATAACTCATTATCACACATGTGTACATTATTTATTAAAATAAAATGTCTAGGTCTGTCAAGTACATCTAGAGTTGATACAATATATAGATATTGTTGACACGTTTTTGTTCAAACTGTTGCATGTTCTTATTAGCTGCACGAAAAATGTCAAATGTTTTTTTATGTCTAGTATAAGTGGGACTTCATAGAAAAATCACACAATGTTCAAAAACAAGCATTGTCAAGAAAATGTATGTTTATTCAATGTGCAGGATGTTGAGGTGTGTGTGTTTTAGACAGACTTGGTAGAACTGCAACTTGATGTGATCCTAAACCCTAAATAGAATATAGGTCCTGAGAATGCTGGGATGTGGTGTGGTTACTCTATGTCCTGAAGTGAGAAAAAGGTAGGTTATCAAGAGGTACTACTTCATTTTATATACTGTTACTTTATTTACTGTCTCACTGTAACTTTGATTTATGGTTATATTTACTCCTTGATTGTTACAATTGATATCCAATTAATATTATTATTACTGGTTGATAATCAATGGGAGAATTCAGGGGGGCAAGAATAGGCAGTTACCCCCTCCTCCCAATTTCGGGAAAAAATGTCATAAATATTAAAGCTTTAAAAGGAACAAGTTTGATGTCTCCTAATCGGCTTCCAGTGAACGGTGATAAACAAAGTAGGTACAAAACATTAGGCGTGGAGGTCACTATATTGAATAGATCGCAGCCTTCCTTTATTAATAAAAATTCGCTGGCGCGCACTTTCCGCCGTTGAGATAACTGAAGCAGGCGCGACGGACTTTAAGAAGTGAACTCGTCTTGAAGCACATCTCGATTCAACAGCACTCAGTAATTGGGAAAGATCGGGTAATATCAGATAGCAGATGGTATCGGACAAAAGTAGTTTAGGACACTGGTGAGAGCATGTGCCACACTGCCAGTGAGTTTCTAGAAACGAATTAGCTTTGCAATCGCCATTGCATGAGTACATCAAGCAGTTTGGTTTGTGCGCCACGTGCGCCAAGTTTTTTTGTAGGTTCACCATTGTAAAAAGATAACTTAAGAACTTCTCTCAGTGTACGTTTATACATCTTGTACTGTAACTAGAAAGTTTACTAATGTGTATTTGTTACGTTACAGCAATACAAGGTCGTTTGAACAATTTATGTCTGTGTTGTATTCTTCTTACTTCTTTGACTTCTCATATTTTTTTCGTATTTCTTGGGTGAAAGTTGATAGGGGGTAATATTCGAATGCCCATATGCATATCGATCGTGTTTCAGGAAACTTCGGGTAAAATTCGCGAGAAATACGAGGTAATAATTTGAAAATGTCATTGTGAAGGTCCCTTTAAAATGAAATGTCGATAAGAGAGGCTAGTGCTAGCCATTCTTTACCCAAAAGCACACTAAGCTTTTTTTTTTATACTTTTCATAAAAGAATACGTACAACATGGAAGAAAGTTGATAAAAATAAATAATATCGTGAAAAAAGCAAAATAATGTAAAATATGTAATATAGGACCCTAGTACTAAATATGTATCGAAAAAATTGGATATTGTGTTAGGACGGGGACGATTTGTCAAGATTACAGTTTTGAGAGCGGTAAATAGAATAATTAAAAAATGTAATTGCATAAAAATCCGCTCTAGTGATGACATTAAAAAATTCCAGTCATTACATTAAGGTAAGGTTGATAGTAGGGTTTGCTGTTAAAAGGTCAAAACAATATGTATACATGTGTAAAGATCTTGGTAAACATGGAGTATTCATGGATATACAGTATTTTCTGTCGCTACTTTTTCTATCGCTCTTCTGTGCGACGTAATCGCACGACTTCAGCTAATAATAACTAGTGGTGCTAAAACTACGAATTTTCTCACCCATATTTTCACGTAAAATTACACGAAAAAAAATTGAATTTTCGAAAAATTGAACATTGACTTTTTTCAGAATCTATCTTTAAGGAGCAGATTTCATTAACGAAAAAATCACAATTTTTAATATTTTAGTTGTAGGAAGATTCCGAAAAAATTTTGAATTTTGCAATTTTCGAAAAATCAGGGTTTTTAACGAACATGATACCTATATCAATCTCACGTTTTCACACTATTCAACAAAAAAATTTAATAAAAAACAATGGAGCCATTTTTAACTTGGAAAATGTTCCAGAGGCTTCACGTAAAGTAACCCCCAAAATTAAAATATCGATTTCAAATTCGAGGGGTCGCGTAACACGCCAGATCGATTGGAGAAAATCGGCTGAACGGTTTAGCCGCTAGCGTTGTTCACAGACGACCGTTCACAGGCGGACGTTTTGCCGACGTTCAATTTTTTGGTGTGAAAGTCCTCCAAACTTTTATTCTCGAAATTTATCAACTGGGTTTATTCACTTTCTCGTTACCAGGTCTACTCTAATAAGACTTTCTCTGCCGAAAATTCGCCGTTTATTCTCTACTTCGTAGCGAGAAAGTAAAAATGTGTACTCATTGTATAATTAAATGCCAGTTTTATATTATATTATTTTTATCATATTCCTCTGAAGTTCGAATTTGCCCTTTAAAATGTATTGTATTGATCCCACATTTTTGTACACATTTTGTTGAGAAAAGCAATGAGTATCGGCAATGGCAATGAGTATCAATTTCTCTGAAATAATCTGTAAGTTTAGAAAAGCTAGCAAATTCAGCATAAACATTGACTCTAACCACAGCGTCATCGAGAAGGAAACGTACTATGTCCATACGCCAAGTTTTAAATTCCATGATTTGGGATCAGAAAAACCGACAAATCTATCAGCTCAGTCCCGTGCCTGTTGGTAAAAACCCCTTTAGAAAATTAATTTGCTTTCCTCGTTTTGCAAGAAATTGATATAAACTCGTGACGATGGAAGATGTTAACTTTCAGTGTCGTGAACTGTAGTATGAAAACTTTACGGGTAATAAAGGACCTTAAACGAAAAGAAAGATGGGTAGCGGACGGCGCTATTTAATAGATAATTGAGATAAATAAATACCTACTTGGGTATTTAGGCAGCTTATATCATTCAGTCTCATTAATGGGAGGTAATGTTAATGTGCCATGATGTAATTGTTTTTACATAAAACTAGCGTACCTAAAACTAGCGAGAACTTTCCCAAGTGGAAACTTGTCCCCAAATCTCCTTATATCCACAAGAAGAAAGCATGAAGGAACCAGAAGTTAGTGAAAAGCGTTTGAATAGATTTGCGCTTTGTTAGCTGACGGCAACGACTGTTGCCACTACCGCGACTAACGGGAGATCCTAGTATCAAGTATGCTCCTAGTACCGGACGTTTCGACACTGGCGCGTCGGAAGTTGTAAGTCGGGTCTACGGGAACAAAGGGATCTGATTCACGTGAAAACAAGCTGTCTCACGCCGGGATAGTCATCTTCCCGTAGGCACTGAGTAGGGGAAAGTCGTCCAAAATGGGGACGCTAACATATTTTAACTTATAACAAACTAAATTATCGATAAGAATGTCAGAAGTACTAGTTTTTGTGTTTACAAAAATATGGACTTCGATGGAAAAGTACGTTTTAGTAAAAATGTGCCATGTCCCCGTTTTGGATAACCAGTAGGCTAAAATGCGGTACTCACTTTAAAATGAACAAATATTGAATACATTTACTACAAAACATTTAGAAATCAATAATCAAATGAAGTAAACTATGGCAAGTACGAAACATATTGTCACTTTGTAAATTTGTTTTTCATTAACATTCTAGTTTGTACAGGAACAAAATAGGTCCAAAATCACGCACAAAAGTCACAAATAATGGTGTGATCCCGTTTTCAGTATTGAAACAGGCTTCATGTGGTCAACCATGACAGGTATCACACTATCCACCTTTCGATCCTCTTGGAATTTATCAAAAGTTCGTTGCAGAAGATACAGGCATCATCAGCATTTTCGGAGACGTCCCTGCTTTAAGCTGCTTCAATGTTCCAATTTGAGCACGTCATGGCGACAGCTAGCAAACATGGCAACTTTTTACAACCATACGAGATAACGGAATAAATTGTTTGTTAAAATGTACCTTAAAACTAAGAAAATGAATACTTTGCTCACTAAAAGTGAATGACAAAAAGTGGGTTGTTACGATCCAATACACTAGGTAGATGAAATCGTAGCGGCTTTTAACAAAAACAATGAAACTTTGGTAAAACAAACAATTACACGCATACGCAGCCACTACTCCTCTCAAACAGTGACAGGCCCTCTAGTGTAGTAGTACCACGTTTGGTCACCCTAAGTAGCCCTTATCAATGCCGTCCCCATTTTGAACAACTTTCCCCTATAAATCCCGTTCGGAAATGTATAGTTATAAAATGATTAACCATTTATTTCACACTAAGGAGCACTTTGACACTTATGTTAATGGGGATTTAAAACAGGTTTTAAATCTTAAAACACAGGGGATGTTTCTTCACTGGAAAAGCCCATGAGGCCTTGTACTTCATTCTTAACCTCGGACGCGCTTTATAGCTACATAGCGAATGCAGAGAACACAGAAATAGAGATATAAATGACGATGGATAATTTTATGTGTATGTTCCTCATCT